TATGCTCCCATTACAATAAGGTGACGGGTTTCTTATCTCTTGAGTATTACATTGGATTATGTTGAATAACTGTTTGCCATATCATGTTTCAAAGGAACATTAAAGCAACAGGTGCTGCTCATCCAACTGTTTCATGGGGAGTTTCATTGATTGGTTGATTGATTGTTCTTTTTACTTCCTCTTTTCCAATTCAGTCCAACTTTATAAAGGTCATTCTAATAAGATAGAATCTGTTAGTCACATCCACAGTCAGATTCAGGCTCCAATATGGTTTGGATTAAACTGGACTGGAGTTCTTTGATGCTAAAGATTTAAAACATGTTCATTCCCTGCCAATACTGACTGCTTTCTAGCGGCCCGGACGCTTCGATGAAGACCAACTCTAACTGAATAGAAATAACAGAAGCAACACATCCTGCTCTTATTAACAAAAAACAAGAAAGAAAATGTGAGAGGAAACAGGCTGATGTCTATATGGGTTGTTTAATGCGCTTTAAGAATGTGCACCTCAGTTATACTGATAGCCATCCACAATTTGAAAGAACTTAAAAATAACCTGAAATCAATGGAAACTCATTTTAGGCTGGTTTTTAAGGTCAGCATGTAGGAGAATGACAAAAATGATCTATAATAGAGAAAGTCTGGGCTGAGATCACTGTTAACCAATGAGATATGAAGGCTGTCTGTCCATTAGCAGAAAACCTGAAGCAGAATATCTGCCCTCAGTTTTATTGTCTAAAGATAAAGTGCGAGTGGGTGATGCAGCAGGGCAATAATCTGTAACAGTCAGAAACAGATGGAAGCTTCTGGAGTGGTCTAGTCAAAGTCCAGACCTGAATCCAGGTGAGCTTCTATGGCTTTGCTTTAAATGAACCTTTCATGCTTCATTTAGAATTTAGAGAAAAGGAAATGGGTTGAAATACAAATTAATGTGTAAAACTCTTGGCCAGTACTTGCAACCTGTCATGGTTTTGGTTCTGTTCAAGTTTTATCTCTTAAGTTTTTGTTATTCTTATTTCCATTTTTGTGTTCTAGTTATTTTTTATTATATTTGAGTTCTCAGATATTTCTTGTTTGCTCTCTTGTGTCAGTCTCCTTTTCCCTAACTCCCTTCTAGACTCCTCTGTCCACACCTGCTCCCAATCTGCTTTTTATCTTTCTCCCAGATTTTCTCCTGTTCAGTCTCTCTTTGCTGGTTTGTCATCATTTCGTTGCCCACTTGTTCTGAGTATTTCTGGTTTTCAGTATTTTTTGGGTTTTGTGGATTTATGTTTTTGGATTTTTGCTTGTTACCCTTTTTGGTTTATCAAATCTTGCAAGAAACCACCTCAGCGTCAGTCTTAGGCATTTGGTTTCTGTCAAAAACCAAACCTGTTACAAATGGTAAATAAGTTTAGTGGTAAATACTTTCCTCACTTAGTGCCAGGTTGGTTTGAATGAAATCATAAATTTACAAATGCAAATTGTTGTCTTTGAAGCTAAAATTTTATGCTGTGAAAGAATAAAGGGAAATCTGTCAGGGAATTAATTTTTTGTTTTTGTTTTGTTTTCTATTGCAGAATAACTTTATGTATTTTTGGTTGAAATAGCTCCCATCTGTTCCAACACAGTAATATATCCTTATTAAGATCCAGATGAG